CGCGTTCAACAGCAACTGGAACGCTGCGCAGAGGAGCGAGGGAGGAAGATGGAGGAGCAGAGGAGGAAGGAGCAGCAGCGCAAGGTGGCGGCCGTGGAGAAGAGACGAAAACAGCAAGAGGCGGAAAAGGTCAGAGGTCACAACACACTAATGCGTCGTTCCATTTAACTGGGAAGCCCGATGTTAGAACGATGTCATCCCAAGATAAGCGGGTTCTAGTGGTAAAGTCGAAAAAACTGGATTTGCTTTGCTCTTTAGAAAGGTAGAATCCACTAGCTAAACAGCGTGAGGCTTGATTTTTGTGCTTAAAATCAAAGCTTCTGCATGTTCCTGCACAGGGTCTGTTCTGTTCTCCGCGTTTGGCTTTTTAAGCCACTTAAAAATAAAGCTTTTTACCACTGTCTTCATTGTTAGGTGGGGGCTGGTGACCTGCTCTGACTTGGACTTGAAAATTCTGACTAGGAATTCAAAAAATTCTGTCTTTGAACCTCAAATGGAACAGACCATAACCGTGCTTTCAGATAACATGAGAAGAGTAGAGACCCACCAAGGCTCTGAAGCATATGTGGCTTCAGATAGGGTTTAACTAATGACAGGGTTATTGGGAAAGAAAGATGAGCTTCGCTAGCTCTCTGCTGCTTTGGGTTTCAGGTAATTTGTTTGCATTGCAGACTGTCAAGGAAAAATACAGTTAACATAAGAGGCGAGTCAATTCATGGGCGAATAGTGTGGTTTGGAGAAAAATCTGACTTTGTGCAGTCTTTAAACAAACTGCTAACACAGCTAAACTGCAAGCAGTACTAGTGAGCTAAAGGGGATACGCACAGCTAATTCATTCAAACCCTTTCGGGCTGGTCTGGTTCCTAGTTGCCGACCTGGTTGTTAGGTTAGTTTTTAGCTAACCTAACTACCAGGTTAGCTAAAAACTGCTGCAACTTGCTTGCTAACATTTCATGGCTGTTTCTCAACATGTATACTTCTCTCTGACTTGTGAAACATACAAGTACAGTTCCAGTTAAAAGTCCACTGTGTTCCTGCTCCACCCATCAAGGATGCATTCAGGTGGTGACTTGTGTGTCACCACCTGAATGCATTTGGAACGGAAATCAAAAGTAGGGCCAAACTCTTACATTTTGAATATATTAATGTTTCTGTGACACAAAATGAACCTTTAAGATGTTTTTAGTCGAGAATGTAGTTGTGGTTAACCTCAAATATGTGATTTATCAAGATATTGCCTATTTGTACAAAAGGTCTGGCGTTTTTGGAGATGTCCATCCCCCTAGTTTAACAACCAGCCTCTTGCCTCGCCAGCTAGCAGCAGTTTTAAAAACGATCTGTGGGAGCCGGGTGCTCTCAGCAGGTAACATGAGCTCCGACTGCCTGACTCCAGGCACATCCTTTTCCCTACTCAGTAGACATAGAATGCAGGGTATGATTCACTTAGGTCTTCTCTGTGGGGTGATCTTTGGTTTATTTCAGTGTTTTATTTATGCTTAGAATATATATTTTTAACAATCTGTTTTGTAAAGAACTCTGTTATTATGCATATCATATGCACAGGCCAGTAAATGAAATTAAGGGTTAAAAATGTATTTGAGGGGAAATACTAACTGTGTCCTCCCACCTCGGAGG